AGCTCTGGGGGTGGGGGGAGTTCTCTCCTGGTGGATCTCCTTGGTTGCCAGCTCTTCCCTGGGGGGGATCCCAGATAACCCACCTCACCTCCCCGGCACCAGGGCTTGGATCCCATCGGATCCCATCGTTCCCCTGCTGTCTGGAAGCCCTGCTGTGCTCTCACAGCCACTGCTTGGGGCTGCTCCACTCCCAGGAACCAGCTGTCTGAGCTCATTCTCCATGCTGGGATGGATGGAATCCCTGGAAGCACTTCCACTGCTCACTGGGAGTGGCTGTTCCCTGGGATGGAATCCCTGGGCAGCACTTCCACTGTTCCCTGGGATGGAATCCCTGGGATGGAATCCCTGGAAGCACTCCCACCCCTCACTGCTCACTGGGAATGGCTGTTCCCTGGGATGGAATCCCTGGAAGCACTCCCACCCCTCACTGCTGACTGGGAATGGCTGTTCCCTGGGATGGAATCCCTGGGATGGAATCCCTGGGCAGCACTCCCACCCCTCTCTGCTGACTGGGAGTGGCTGTTCCCTGGGTGAGGGTGGACTCGAGCAGAACTTGGGGTTTTGAGCTGTTTTGGCTCGTTGGAGGCTCACAGGCCTCACCCAGCTGGTGCTGCTCCACCTGCCCAAGTCCATTCCCACTCTTTCCAAGTGCTGGGATATCATCCCTCCAGCTGAGGCACTTCTGGGGAGCTCTGGAGGCTCAGCTCCACCTGGGCCTGTGCAGAGCAGTAATTGGGTGCTTGGGGAGGGCACAAAACCAGTCACAGATGAACACAGACACTTCCAAGGGCATCTCTGCCCAATTAGTGTGGAGTGGGAAGGGAAGGGGGAGAAGACAGGGAAGCCATGAGGCAAATTGAGAGGATTGATGGCCCCAGGGTGGAACCACAGGAAGAGCAAGAAGGACCTTTTGAAAGAGCAGTAGCAGAACCAATGGAGTGGGACAGGGGCTGGGAAAAGCTCTAATTTTCAGATAATTTGCGGTTCATTTCTCCAGCAAGTCCCTGGCACTGCTCCTGGGGCTGGAATTGCTGCTCAGCATTAATCCTGGGATCAGGCTGGCTGGGCTCTGCTGCCCTGGGCCTGCTCAGGGAGGAGGGAGGAGGGCTCCTGCCCCTTATCCAGCACTCCCAAAGCAGGTGGAGGGGAGTTCCTGGTGGCTGTGCCCTCTGATCACAGCCCTGCCCAGGAATCCTGACTGGGCAGTCACTGGCCTGGGGTTGCTGCTCCTTGCAGGGCAGGAATCCCATGCAGAAATCTCTCCTGGTGGTTGTATTTCCAGGAATTTCCCCTTGCAGACGTGGCTGAAGCTGAGCAGGGGCTCTCAGAGCTGCAGGGGGGGGGGCTGCAGGGGTATCCATGTGCTGGAATTCCCCTGGCTCCCTCAGCCCCCCCCCCGATGGGACAGGGACACGCTCCTGCTGCTGCCTTTGCTCAGGGCTTTGTGTCAGGCAGGAGAAAAGGACAGCAGCCACTTTACCAGGCAGAACAAATCAGCCCTTAATGCTCTGCAGGGGGAAGGATTAATTCCTGCTATCAGTTCAGCTGGACTAATCCCTTTTGGAATTAACAGCCTCGACCTGACAGGTGAAGGGAGCTGCAAATTGCTGCTCCTGTGGAAGGGGAGAGCTGCTCTGGTACCTAAATGTCCGTGTCTTAGTCCTTTATCCTTAGCAATTGTTTTGGGTTTGGGGGAGGATTCTCTTCCTGTCCTCCCTCGGTGATAAATCAGGATGGTGGAGAGGAGAAAGTGTGGCCCTTTCTGGAGAGAGAGAGAGAGACGAGGCTCCTCTTCAATATATTGATACCCAGACACTTCCCTGGCTCCCTGCAGGGGCTGAGGGACCCCAAAAGCTGAGCCAGAGATGTGTGATTAGTGAACTCTGGGGGTCAGTGACAAACCACAGGCTGTCACTGGAACCCAGGTTGGGTCTGATGAGCCTGGATTAAGATCTCCAGGCTGGGAAGGAGGGAAGCACTCTGAGCTGGGCTTTCTCCTGCCGTCCTCCAAGGACCTTGCTCCCTTCTCCTGTGACAAGCTGCTGCTCCTCAGGCATCTGGGAGAGGGATAAAGCTCCTGGTGCTGCTCTGCCAGCGCTGCAGACACACTGCACCATTAACCCCGTGGGCAGAGCTGGTGGCACTCCAGGCAAAAAAAAGGGACTTTTTTCCCCCCAAACCCTGCTGAACCTGAGGCTGAGTCTTCTGCACAGTGTTTACCTGGTGCCAGAAAGCTTGGGGGAGCTTATAAACCTTATCTGTTTCCATGCAGATTCCTGGGGATTGTTAATGGACACTTTTCCATCTGCAGACAGAGCTGGGGTGGAGCTTTTCCCTTTTTTTTTTCCCCAACTTTGCCCCTTGTGATCCTTTGGGCTGAGGCCACAAAAAAACACCTCCCAGGGCTGAATTCCTGCAGTCAGACAGCCCGGGAGGGGGTTTGGGAAGGGGAGGAGCAGCGGGGTCTCATTCCTGGCAAGGGGAGGAGGGTGCTCAGCCTCACCTTTAAGGTTTGCTGGGAAGGCACTGGAGCCTCTGGAGCTCCCAGCTGGGTGTTCCTGCAGCTCAGAGGGAGCTGCTGTGACCTCTGTGAAGGGCAGAGCTTCCCTTGGAGCACTCAGGGAGAGCTTTCCCGTGCCCTGAGCCGGGGGGGTGATGCCAGAGTGCCCACACATCACATGTGGGGCCGGGTCCTTTCCCTGGATCAGCCCTGACGTGCCCATTAAACCCATTCCCAGCTCCCCCAGGCAGGAACCAGGCTGGCTATCAGCGAGAAATAGGTTTATTCTCCTGTTTGCTCCCGTTCCTGGGGAGCTGACAGTGCAATTCCCAGCACCACACTCCATCCCCTGCTCCTGGAAAACCTCTTTATTTAAGGAGGGGTGAGTGTGCAGGGCCTGGAGCTTGGGGAGGGGGTAAAAGAGCTGGGGAAGGTCCTCCTGGAGTTCAGGAAACCTCTTGGAGACCTGTGGGGAAGGGGAGGGGGCTCAGAGTGCTCAGAGAGAGGGAGACACCGACCCTGACACCACCCACCCCCCGGGGGCAGTGAACAACGATCCTCTTCTAATTGGGGCTCCATAATTAATAGATCGTGAATAATGAATGAAGCATCGCTTAACTGGAGGCTGGCCCCGGCTCACACACACACAGGGGGCTTGGCAGGTCGTTAGGAAGAAGAAATCCTTCCCCTTGTACTGAAAAATGCAGCTCTGAGGCTTCTTTCAGGCCCTTAAATATTTTAACCGGTGGCATCTGAGCTCTGAGGTGCTCTGGAGAGGAGCTGCCAGCCCTGCTGGAGATGCATGAACCAAGTTTGCAAGGCAATCTCTCCTGGAAATCTCTTTTTCTTTTTTTTTTTTTCTGCAGCCCCAGCAGTGGTTTCATTACTTCCCCTCACGCTGCAGCCCTTTATAAATAGGATTCCTTTCCTTTCCCCCCCTCCTCTCTTCCCTTTAACTCGCTCTCTGAACCCGGTATGGTCACCTCAAATCACTGAGTGCCCTGCCCAGGTGATGAGAAGGTCTAATTTCGGGGGTTCAGCTGATGAAGCAGCAGAAATAATTCCAAAGGGGGGGCTTCCCACGGGAGATGCTGCAGGGAAAAGGTGCCCCTCTTTTGGGAGCACATCCCTGGGGGTGCTGCTGCTGAGCCTGGACATGGACACTGAAACCTCCCCGGGGGATGGCACCTTCCAAGGGCAGGATAACGTGGGAATTTTGTCCTGGTGTGGGAATTTTGTCCTGATGTGGGAATTTGCTTTCCATCTGGGGAGGAGTTGCTGTTGGGGGTCCTGGGCCGCTCGTGGCTCCACTTGGATGATGAATTATCACTTTTTGGGATGGCTGGGGTTCACCAGGAGCCTGCTGAGGAGAAGGATCTTAAGGAGAAGGGATTTTTAAAGCAGATTTCCACGCAGTGTGACCCCCCCCCTGGGAGTCTCCCAACACCTCTGGGCAGAGCTGTGGGCAAAGGAGCTGCTGCCCAGTGACTTCCCTGCTCCTGGGGTTCCCAAATCCATCTGGATCGAGCCTCTCCAATGCTGGAACCACGAAATGAGTGTAAAAACTTGGGAACACCCCCATCCCTGGGCGACCTGCTCTGGTGGGAGCTGTCCCTGCCCGGGGCAGGGGGTGGCACTGGGTGATCCCTCCCAGCCCAAACCAGGCTTTGGGATTTGCTCTCCCTGGTCCCTCGGGTCTCTTAACGAGCCTTTTAACCCCTGTCTGTCACAGTTCAGGACCTGAAGGGCCTTGGCTACGAGAAGGGGAAGCCCGTGGGGCTGGTGGGGGTCACCGAGCTCTCCGAGGCCCAGAAGAAGCAGCTGAAGGAGCAGCAGGAGGTGAAGCCCCGAAAGGGTTCCCAAAATTCACGGGGAGGGGGGTGGGGGGGGGAGCAAAAAGAAACCTTTTGCAGCGGCCACAAATAAATCTGTGGGATTTGTGCTGGCTGCCTGGGAAGCACAGGATGCTGCAGTCAGCAGGAACAGCCCTGGGGCTTTGGGGAATAAGGGTGGAAGCAGCCAATTGCTGCCCTCCCAGCCTAAACCCGAAATCTATAAGGTCTGTGGTGTCACAGCTG